ACTGATAAAATGCGCAAGCGTAGAACGAAATATTGCGTGCAAGGAAGTTGCGGGCAATAAAAATTGCCGACTGTAAAACGGCCTTAAGCAATATGCTAAACAAAACAGGAACGTCTTAATAAAAATGTCCTAGTTTTTGGTTAGCATCTTTCCTGTTGTCGATTTCCATTACAAATGCTTTTTTGTTTGAACTGAAAGTTTAGATACATACGTCTAAACGTAAACTTAATTAATAAAATTGAAACGATTCGTGTTATTTCTTACATACGAACAAATATACTGTTTTTCATTAGTGCATTATAAATATTGATTTCATTATTTAAATAGGCGTCGTTCAATTAGTTGCAAACCATTATTTGACACTAGTGACAAACCATACATAACTTATAGAAGCGAGAGTTACTATCACAGGCTTTAACACACGATTTCAATGTGTCATCATCACTTAGCACCGATATGGACATCTTTAAATAATATTAATAATATAAAATCTATATTGACTATAAGAATCTACAAGACGATTTTTAAATTTAAATCATAAATTGGTTTTTTTTGTGTATGCAGGAGGAGCCCCACGTGCGGCACGTGCATAGCGTGCAGCATCAGACTCTGCTAATGTCGCACCCGCAAGCCCCATCTACAGGCCCACAGCCGCCCACCTCGGCACCCACTAGCCTCCCGGCAGCTCTGTATCCACCAATGGCTCCTCACCCGTTAGCATCTCATCCTGGCATGCCAAATGGTAAGTAGTTTTGAGAACTAACAACACACGCGTTCTATTATAAATGTATTTATTTAGTACACTTAAAGTATTTGTAATACATTTTTCAAACAAATGGCCAACATATTAAAAGCTTAATTGGTATAATGTGTGCCAACTTTACCATAATTACATTGGTGAGACTAACTTCTTTATTGTGATTGCTGTTGAAGTTGCTAGCCATCCCCATCTACCACCGCCTCATCTACTGCATCCCAACTTTTCCGATATGATTTGGAAGCAGCAACGGTATGCGGCAGTTCCTACCCATCTTTTGGGCAACCAACAAGCAAGCCATACGGCCGAAGACTTGGAAAGGGAACGAGCTATGTTTCAAGAACGGCACACTCACAATGAAAGGATGATTCGGTGAGTCCTTCTTATAATCGCCATTCACAGACAAAACGAGAACACATATTGAGTTTGAGTCTTGTGGTGAGTCTACAATGCATGGATTTAGTGGCATCAATGTGCACATGTAAAAATATCGGCCCAGAAATATGATGCTTTAAAATTGCATGTTAAAACAAGTACCTACATACTTGCACGTTAGTTCGCCAGAATTTAGTTGCATTATAGAAGCTGTAATTCTGGTTGCTTTGTGTGGCTCTAAAAAAATGGCCAACCGAACTGAGAATAAAATGTGAATAAAATTTTTGAATCTTATGTATGTAGTACTACTTATAAAAGTAGAGATCGACAAGAACAGTTATATGAAAACGTTTCAAAATTAATGGATGGATGGGGCATATTGCACACTCTTCCACCATGAAATCAATATCAAAGTAAAACTGGCCTGTCAACACCTATTCTTATTTTGTCCCATGCGTATATTTACACCTTAACTGGCGTACAACTGGAACTAGCACAAGCCACTAAATTCATGCATGTGTAGTGTTCACTACTGTGGCATTGTACTACCTAACTGCAAGCAGATTTTTTCAAAATATTCCTAAATACCTAATTGTCTAATGTGTAGGCAGCAACATGAGCAACAGCATCGAGACAAAGAGAGATTGGATCGGGAGAGACAGGAACGTGATAAAATGGACCGAGAGAGGGAAAAACAAGAACGAGATCGAGAAGAAAAGGAGAGACAGGAACAGGCATTACATAACCATTTTGAAAAATCGCTTAGAGCTGCACAGCAAAAGCGTGAGCAGCAACAGCAATGGAACTCTATAGGTAATAGGCAAACCCAGTCAAGAACTTCGACCTTGTCCGAAGAAGATCGAAAGCAAACTGACCTGCATCAAAGAGAGAGGCATATGGCGGCGGTGAGGGCGAATGACGCTAACCATAGGTACTTGCATAATTTCGTTAACTTTGCAATTACATTAAAAAAGAAATTGTAATTATTCGTGATGAGATTTCCACCAAGATCGCTGAAAGGTTTTGCTGATCATTTTTCCGTGACTGACTAACAACTTTTAAAATTGTCCACCTTTTAATAGTGTCAACCTATGTTTAATATATCACGCGTGTATTTCAGGTATTACGGCACCGTTGCGTCGAAGACGAAAGGAGAGTATCCGCCCCCGCCAGCTCATACTAGCCGATTGTCTCAAGGCAAATCGAGCGAGAAGCTGACGAACATGCACTCATCAATGATGCCAAAAAGTATGAATTCTGAAACTCGTCTGTCCTTAATAAACGTGAACTTCATCAAACAATTTTAAGATTGTTCGCTTGTTAGTGAAGCATTAATAGAATTTTAATCATTACAGCCGAGTTGTCAATGTACGGGTACCAAGTTCACACCTCACCGAACACGTTCTACGAACCAAAGAAAACTGAGATTCATAAAAGTACTGCGAGTGGTTTGGTTGTCACTAAAACCAGTATTGACAACAGGGACATGTCCAATCCTCCTGTTCTTGTAAACGAGGGAAAAAGTTCTGTGATTGTTAAGCACGATGCTAAGTCGACGCACCATGTTGAGCCCAGGGTGTCCATAGCTTTGAGCCCTAGTCCTAAGTTAAGAAATGAACTGATGAGTCACTATATTACCGCATCAGGAGGAGCTGGTCAAAAGAGTTTATATGAATACAGGTAAAATACATACATGTTAACATATGCCGAACATTAAAATATGTATGATAATTTAGAAGCCCAAGTCAGTCTCCCCATCACTTAAACCCACACACCGCGAGTCCACATCATCATATGGAAGTGGCGAAGTCAGCAGCGCAGCAGCATCATCGGTCTTCTTCTAGTGGTCAATTGCCGAGTCCTCATCATCAGCGCCAGTCTCCGCATGCAAACCCAGCAGTGCATCCGCACAGTCAGCAACATTCTTCTCCTGAACTGCGTTATAGACAAGACCTGGCACCGAGCGCTCAGACCATGATATTCCCCACTGGAGCAAAATGTGGTTATTCGTACATGTCGTCAATGCACCCAACATCCACTTCTTCAGGGTCTAAAACTAAAGTCTCTTCTCCGGCACCGCATCACATTTACGGAAAACCAACTGCTGTTAGTGTCGTGCCAGTGACAAGATTGAATGAATCGTCAGTGCCCTTGACACTCCATAAACCTCCGCTCGGCACCAGCATATCTTCTCCGTACCAGCAAGTTTCTCAATACCATCCTCCAGCTATGGCGTCTGTGCCTGCAATGACCACGTGTCCACCACCTGCTCATAGCAGCCGAACAACATCGACAATTGGGTATGTTTTTTTTGCTTTTCCATACTCCCGTACCGGGTAAGATTTATCATTATAAATCTAATATTATTAGATTTCAATATTTTGTGGCCCTACCCTGAGCATTCACAGTCTAATGCCCCTTTCTGGTAGATTCCCCTTATTGGTTCGATAACTATCGGTCCGCTAAAGTTGTAGGTTCTATAACTTATGGTAGGTTTCTCAACGCGTCTTTACG